AAGGTAAATTCACGGCTGATAGTAAATGGAATATTCACAAGCAAGTTGCACTTCCTCATGCAGCAAATGGTGCTTCCTATGCACATCGTGGCAATTCCCCTGTGAATACTGCAAAACAGGTTACGCCACTTCTGCAACGTCATCAATTTCAAGTTATGAGGTGACCACGACAGTCAACTGACTTGAACCGATGATTGATTGATATGTGGGGTTTAACGTCCCCAAAACACCATATAATTATGAGAGACGCCGTAGTGGAGGGCTCCGGAAATTTAGACCACCTGGGGTTCTTTAACGTGCACTCAAATCTGAGCACACGGCCTACAAGATTTCGGTCTCCATCGGAAATGCAGCCGTCACAGCCGGGTTTTCATCACGCGACCTGCGGGTCAGCAGCCGAGTACCTTAGCCTCTAGATTACCGCGGTGGAGCCTGACTTGAACCCCATAGAAAACGTTTAAGGTATAATGAAGCAGGCCTCAGCAAGTCAGTGTCCCCAAGGGCTCTCGTGGACAGGATATGGAGTGCTGTCAAGGCAGAGAGTGAGCATTTGAAGCAAGATGCGTCAGTTTGTGAATGTTTTTACGCACACCTTTGTTCTCGAATAGGGACGGTGGCAGAGGCAAACGACGCCGTGAACCGGTATTGAAGAACATATGCGGATTGTGCTTGTGTTGTTTTTTCCAGCCCGACAACATAGTGGGAGTTCTTGAAAAAATAATGAACGTCATTTCCTAATGAATATTTTACAGCAAGCAGCTTTCTGAGTGCGTACCCTAAAGTGCCTACGGCAATAGCGAAGGCACACGTTTCCATGGAAATAACCTGAAACTTGATAATACATTTGCGAGCTCCTAACTTCCGCACTTATATTTTACTGAAATCTCTACAACTGTAGGACTGCAACGCGTTACAAAAACCTATACGTTTCCACATCGCGTTTATCAGTATAAATTCCCCCAAACACTAGTTAAAACACCTTTAAGTTGTGTGTTCAGCTTACTCACTGCAGCATCTAGAATATTCATTAGTGCAGACAAAATCCACACTCCACAAAGAAAAATACTTCTCGGTATAGCTGCTAAAAAGAGACGTTCTCAAAAATGTAGTAATGATTCTTTTCATAGCGAAATGATAAGAATTTGTTTGCAAGCCGACTTCGTCGTTCTCGTTTGTGTTGTTGCACATAATTTACAAATTTCATATATTTCGTGAAAAGTCAACAAGTGGCTGGCAAGGTCCATTTCTTTTTTCCCATTTTCTTTATTTAAAAACTCGTGGGCTTACGGTGGGTTGGACGATGCGTGGAAAAGCAAGACGGCTTTAGTTCACTGTAGTGAACCAACAATAATATCAATGAGGTAGTATTTTACACGATCTAATTACATGTCAGTTTTGCCACAGTTTTCTATATGAGCCTGGACATGCAGCCCACGGACAAACTTTGAAGTGCGGGGACGACTTGCTTCGCGTCGATCTGGAGCGCGGCCGCAACTGATCGCAGACAACAAACGAGGGCAGCCAGCGGTGCTCACTGCCCCTGCGCGAAAGCTAGTTTCCGCTGCTGGCCGGTGGTGGCGCCGAGCAGATGACCCGCGCTCCAATGTTCCCTTTACCAGTGAACTCCTCTAGAATTTTATGCAACAAAACGCCGCACTTTGCGTTGCATGCCTCATAAAAAAACGCGCCAGTTTTCACACGAGTAAACGCCCTCATGACAACAACAGTGAATATCTATCAAAAAACAGTCGCGGGAATGGAGTTTCTCAGGCAACAAACGCTTAGATTGACCTTTTTTTTACCTAGACCCAGCGGGGACTACTATTATTTCTTTTTATTGCGATAGAAATTATATGGACATTCTCGGCTGGATTTCGCCGCCGGTGTCGGCGTCGATGTCATGCACCGTATATGTATACGTATCTATATATATGAAAACGCAAGAAATAAAATATTCTGAAGAAGACTCCAGCACGCGCAGTCGAACGTGGAAGCTCCGAGTTGTGGAGGCGAGGCGTTAACCACTGGGCTACCGAGAAGCACGGCATTCAGCACTCAAACGGCAAGCTATATATCTGTATCTCCCAATTACCGCTTGAAATGAGCATCGCGTAGGGAGACTATCGCGTTTTCAGCATGAACAGCAAGATGGCCCAGTGAGTGCGCGGCTGCATGCACCCTTATTTCCCACGCGTACTTTGCCTCATAGAGGGGTGTGTGTGGTTGTAAAGCCTCTGCTCGCACACTCGCGCGCCCTTATCTTGCGGTTGAGAGCATCTGGTGTCTTGGCTGTCCTGAAGCTTGATTTTATTTGATTGATATGTAGGGTTTAACGTCCCAAAACCACCGTATGTATATGCGAGACGCCGTAGTGGAGGGCTCCGGAATTTTCGACTACCTGGGGTTCTTCAACGTGGACCCAAATCTGAGCACATGGGCCTACAACATTGCCGCCTCCATCTGAAGTGCAGCCACCATAGCCGGTGTCCTGAAGCTTTCACCGGAACGATCCTTCTGTAGTCACCGGGCGCACAAAGGTCACTGCGATCGTGCACAGTCTCCGTTTGCGAAAAGAGCGCACTTTTCAGACACAGCGAAGTAACAATTTAGACCTTCTGTGCCTGTGAGTGCGTTTTGTGCGTTGTTTGTGCGTAAGAAACGCGGAGCACGTTTCCATCTGCTTGCCATTATGCGCGTGACTTTCCAATTTGTTGCTATCGCGTTCATTGCTTCGCCTTTGCGGCAAAGCCGGGACTTTTACTTCTCCGGGTTTGCGTGGCTTCTGTGTGTTTGTGTGTGTGTGTGTGTGTGCAGCAGAAATTCAGTGCTGTCACTACATGATTGAATGAATGAATGAACAGAATTTATTTCTGGAAAGGCACAGAAAAAAGAAGTGAAGTTAAAGGCCATTCGGACTGGCGTGGTCTCGCTACGCGAAATGTCAAAAGCATTCAGCAAGCAGTGCTGCATTGAATAATATTTTTCAAACACAAGGAGCAGCAAAATAACAGAACACAACAATAGTACAAACATATACAAAATTGTCTATATAGACAGACAAAGTCAGACATCGAGGACAATTCAATTACATAAAATGAAATTCAAAAGACACACACTTATCGTATTGATTTGTATATTCACACATTCATTTTTATTTTCATATATTCATATATGCACATGCGCATGTACATTCATACTTCTGTATATACACGGGTTTTACCCGTGTATGTACTTTTGTATATACATGGGTTTGGAACTTAAAAGTGGTACCTTTATATGTAGAACCTAGTCAGAAGTTTAGTAAGCACGTGTTGTTTTTTAATCCATTAATGAGCAGATCTTGATATGATTCTTGAACTGCATAATAACAGGTTCAATTTTAGGTGTTCACCTAAAAGATTAAGAAGCTGTGGGGCGTGACACGCAAATAGGGATCTAACATACCCAGTCCTCGTAGCGGGAACGTGAATTAGTTGCCTGTAGCCGCAGGGTTCACTTCAGGAGCATCAAAAAGAATCCACCTATTCTGTACTAGTGCGTGAATGAGCGTAAGATGCCAAAACTGGCGTCCAAATACATGCGACTGGCTCAACAAAAACAGGAGGAGTGCTCCGACAAGCACCACAATTACGTTGTGTTGAACATGGAGAACTGGTGCTCCTCGAGGCTCCACTGTTCGTGGTCATGCCGACCACTTCGTAGACTTGACCCTCGAGACGGTAGTTGGACTGTCACTCGTGAATTACCAAATTGAACTTGCGGGTAACAATGAAAGTGTCAAGGTGCATGTGTGAAATTATTACCATATCTGAACATTATTGGTCAGATAGAGCAACCTGATGCTTCATAACAAGCTCTAGATGTTTCCTGTGTAATTTAACTTGTTCATGTTTTCATGCGCTGCCACGTATGACACGGAACGAAAAAAAAAAGAGAAAAACAGAGCGATTGCTAGAGGCTGGATTTTAGGAAAATGCCTCTTTTGCTCTTTGCGTTCCTACTGTGGTACTTTGATAAATGAGCATGAATGATGGGTTACAAACTCTTCTATAGTAGTTACATGCCAATATTTTGCTCAAGGAAACAATTTTTTTACACGTGTTTTCGAGCGACCCAACGTATTATATGCCTCGTAATTGTGCTTTAGAGGCGATGTGTTTTTGAAAATAAATGCGTTGATAGCATAACTGTGCAGTGTCTTCATGTGTCTTCTCGTGCCCGCGTGTACTTCTGCGCTGCATCAAAGCTGCTCAAAGGTTTAGCAACAAACAAGCCCAAATTGCAACCCTTCTCAAAGCTATTCAGAGGGAGGCGGTTAAGCTGAAATATAGCTATGAAATTATCTCCCAGCTTTTACGCATTTTTATACCTGCAAATTGATTTAAAGCATGTAGTTCGTTACTCTGCACACATCGAAAACAATCGCGCTGGTGTAAACTTCATTGTTATGGCACCAAGCCCGAATGCTACGCGGTTTGTTCATTTCATAAATGTAACCACTCATGACATTTCGGTATTATGAGTGACCCTTTGAAGCCTTGGCGCAGTCTCCACTGACTTTAAGAGCCCATCATGAGCTTGACTCGACATCATTCTTCGCTTTCATGATGGAGAATTCGCGTCATTGTAGTGAAACGCTGGCACCTTGTAGCGAAATGACGTAGTTAACCCAGTTATATTTCAAGCACGCAAATACCAAAATACGGCATATACGAACTAAGGGGTACGTCGGCATCAAAATGTCATATGCCACTGTAGTCTATAGGTTGTCGATGCGGCGTTAGACAAGCTGCGCGAAAAGCGACGCCTCACCGCAAAGTTACTTGTGTGGTGACCTTACGCTCATAATAGTGTCTAAAAGGAAGTCACTGTCTATCACGCAACAATGACAACTCTGACAAGGCACGAAATCGAAACAGGTAGAAGTACCTGCCTACATCTGCTTCTATGGTGAATATATATAGCGAGTGGTGCCTGCACATAAGCAGTGCTCCTTCCATGATCCTAATGTGGGTTTTATATAAAGCTGGGAAAACAATGCTTATCTTTATTGCTACGTTGCACCTTATGATGTTTTGCTATGCACGTGAGTTATCACATGCACGTTTAAAATATTATTGGTCCATTTTTAAATTGAAACTTCTGTAGCTTAATACCATACACAGGTTAGGCTTGTCGTAACGACGAATCGACCTTTCTTGACCGTTCTTTCTGCAATTCATTAATGCCTGCTAATAATGTAAAAAAATCAGAGAAAAGAAATACTTTCACGTGGTTGTTACAAGAGATGCCCAAAACTAAAGCCGTTAAAGAAAACCTTTTTGGAAACGCTTGCGCCGAGATAGAAAAATTTAATTGATATGTGGGCTTTAATGTCCCAAAACCACCACATGATTATGAGAGACGCCCGAGATAGAAAAGTATCGCTTAAAATATCGCGATAGCGGTATTCATAATATAAGGTCGATAAAGAGTGCAGAAGCAGTGTGTTGTAACTAAGAGGGGAGAGATAAGGGGGAACAAAGCCCCGGGCGCCACTCGGGAAAGAGCGCCAAGCCGAGTCCGCTCAATATGCGTTCAGGAACTTACTGCGGGCCCAAACGGTGTGCTTGCGCCCCATTCCCCGTGAAAAGATCACCGTACAAGTTTAAAACCAATGAGGCAACACCACCACGCTGTTTCAACACTCCCTTCCTCACCTTCTTTTCCCCAAGTACCACCCATGAGGCCAGATGGTCTTTTGTATTGTCAATTGGTGCTTGATTTTTTTCCTTCAACAAACAAAACACAACCTTCTTGGAGCCAGTTGCTTCTGGGAACCTGTGGCTCATATGAGCAAGAAGCCTTGTCTTTCCTTCTAAAATATAAGCCTATAAAAAAGCAGAAAGATAACTACGTTGGTGTAAGCCTGTTCCCACATGAGTACAGTTCTAAGGGCGAAGCTCCTTATAGCGGTACCCGTTCGTCCCTCGTAGTCGCAGTCGTAGTCGTAGTGTGTAACCAGTCTTACGCTTTGACCTCCAAGGTGGTGCCGGTGGGAGATTTCTCCTGTGCGTTGTTGAACAATAAGAAAATTCGCAGCGTGCGCGTTAACTAAAAGCCGAATTCTTCTGTCTCTCATTCCCCTTTAGCAGCCATTGGCATGTTCCAGTAGGAAACGTTAGTAGAAGTAGAAGTAGAAGTGTTAAAAACCGACTTCTGCTGTCTCTTATTTCCAGTAGCAGCCATTGTTTACCTCCAAGGTAGGGCCTGGTGAGATTTTTCCTGTGCGTGAAAAAACAATAAAATTTTTTTTTGTTCAAAACGCCATTGATTGATGAAATAAACCAACGAAAGACGTCAGATGTTTTCTAAATGCAAAACGTAAAGACGCCAGATGTTTCTAAAGCAAAACAAAAAGAAAACACCAGCTGCTTAACGAAATATGCCAGGTGTTTTTTAAAGCAATGGTTTTATAATCAAAACCATATCGATACAGGTTTGTAGTTACCGATGCTCATTGCCGTCGGTGTGTGCTCGTATGGATAAGAATGCTGAAAGGGGGGCGCGCCGGGCAGTGGCGGTGCGCGGTCGCAGACAGGACCATGAAGTGAGAGCACGCTAGGCAGACGCGCGCCGGGAAGCTGCGCGACGTCGCCGCCGAAATCCTGCTGTGCGGGAAGAAGAAGCCACATCAGCGAGGCAGCGTCGGCAAGATCCCGCCGTACGTGAGCAAGAAGCTGCAGTGGCACATCAGCGTCGGCAAGATTTTTCCGTACGGGAATGAGAGGCCGAGGCAGCACGTCAACGTTGCGAAGCAGATCTTGAAAACGTTCGACAATGGGAAGCGGCGAGGAAGCACGCATATTGCCAGGCGAATTAACCGAAAAAAAAATTAACGGTATTACTTCCTGGAGCTTCGCTCAATCTCATCATCATTCACCTCGTGGGTCTGCCGTCAATTTTTGGTTATTAACGTACATATCCTGGGTAGTAGACACAAGCTTTTCTCTGGAGTTCTGGCTTCTCTATATTCATGATATGGTTTATGTTTATGTGTGCGCGTGTATATATTTATACAGATCTAATAATATCGGCGCGGCGGGAGGTTTAACCTTCCTAACCTCTTTCTAGCTTCGCCACTGATCTCTTGAAATGTTCGCTTGTTTGTGGTGTGATTCCCAAACAACTTTGGTTCTTACACATGTATATAACCATTTTGATAATGGAGAAGAGAAAGCGCAGCCACTGGTCTTGTTGTTGACTTGCGATCGAGAAGCTCCTTACCAACTCATCAAACAGGTCAGCCTCGAAGCTTATGCGGAGAGTTTGCATGGGAAGATGTCCGGTTGAAAGTACAAAAGAATAAAACTAAGGACGGAGCACCCTCAAAGGCTTCATATTTATCTTTTACAAATGACTAACTCACTCATAGACTGCTTTTTTTCCCCATCAAATTGCGTCACCCCTTCTCGTTTCCTCCGTGTATCGGTACTATTTCCCCGCGACATTTTCTTCAATCAGCGTGCGTAGGTTGATGTTGACTATGAGGATTGACGAGGTTGGGGTAGACGTGTCTGAAGTAATTAGTTTTTAGATGACTACGAAGTGTGTGAGTCTTCTTAGGGAGAGGGAAGTGTCATGTGTCATTGTCACTCACTAAATCAACATTTGCGTCACCAGTTCACACACAAAGTCGCCTACTCTGAAGTGCAGCAAACGCATGAGTGAGACTTCGGCTCACTGCTCCTACTAAGCTAGCTTCATCAGCCATGCGTCATTCATTATCCTTCCAGTAAAGCCGTAAATGTGAAAATACATCCAGCTCTATTGCATGTGCGATGCACGAATTATAGCGCACTGCACCATCAAAAACATCGTGCTTTCGAAGCTTCTATTGTTTCTAGATGCCAGTGCACATGAACTATAGTTGCGAAACGAGGTTCAATGAAGGGGTAAACTCGGAGAAAAAACACATTCGCGCCGCTGGCTTTCCCTCTTCGGAGCGAGGTTCTTTGAAGTAAGGTGGCGTCTCGTGATTGTAATTTCTTAGCATGTCAACTGCTGCATTCGTGTCGGCAAGGGTGGGCATGGTGCAGATTAGCACTAAAGAAATACAGGAATTAGAGATGCAATAGTAAATTACCCTATTGTGAATGCGCTTATGTCACTACTGAGCCTAAACAAGAGAAAAAAAATGCCAGGAACTGAATGATATGTACAATTACTATCAGCATCAAGTGAAACGCGAACACCGGCAAGTATTAGAAATCGCATAGTGCGCTCCATTCAGTCATCATCATTGATAGCCGTACATCAGTTCTATTTGGTAGCACTGCGAATTTCCACGGTGATGATTGCACGAGGCACACTATCGTCAATTGTTAGAGCTTGCCTGCGTTCGTGTTTCATTTCGCGCCGATAATCTAAACGCTCCTTCCCATTTGTCACAACGATAACAAACGCAGTTCAGCCGTGATTTGCCAACTGCTATTGATTTTGATATCTTCCTCAATCGTTTTGTTTTGATTGCTTGTTTCTACCGATGAGCGTGTTGGCGATAACAGCATCCAGGTGTCTGACTCCAATAATGTCGACGTTGTATAAACGAGCGAGCTTCGCAGTAATTCAGTGGTGGATTTCGCCCATGTTCTGCCGCTTTCCCTCGAAAAAAAAAAGCTATGGGGCTTTGATGGTGTTGATATTAATGTACAGGGCCGTCCACTCTTAGTACGGACACGGTGCCGCATGGCCTCTCTCCACGGGGCGCCAGCGCTATAGCGGTGCGGTCACGCATCGAAGCACATCGACACAGGCGCACAAGAGCGTTGAGGCGGGGCTTCGTTTTGAATAAAAGCGCGGGAGTGCGTCGTGCCTGTTTTACAGTGAAGCAAACCTAAACCACCTGAAAAACCACGAGAGTTGCAGTAAAGTGTGTAGTCACGATAATTGAGACGTGGGTGATACCTCTTGTTTCAGTACAAGATTGCTGGTTTAATTTACACACTGTTGAGTATTAAGTATTGGTTCTCTTGAGTATTGATTTTGCTTGGTTTGTGATGTTTTAGTCCGTGAAAGAATTTCGTCACCGAGTGGCGCTCTGAGAAGCTTCTATAACATCAAAATATTTACCGTGGCTTGATAATACGTGCGCAATGGTTTCTACATTTCTCCCGCATTTACACTCGGCACGTGCTGCCGCGATTGAACTTGTGTCTCCCGACTGATATTAGCGGAGCTGTCGACCAGTAAGCCTCTGCAGCGGGGCATTCTGACGGCTCTGAACACTCTGCAGGTATCAAGATTCATAAATGAAAGACATTTGTTTTGCGTGCTCTTTCTGAAGTATTGAAATGCTGTAGAACTAAAAAACGTAAAGAAGTTTGCAGACAGTGGGATACCAAGTTTATAGCTTGTGTGCTGCGTTTTCCAAAGTAAGCACTATGAGTAGCGGGTAGGATCCCTCCAGCTCCAATGATCACAGTCATTCTATTGAAGAGGTTGCTGTATAGACCGTTTCACTGTTTAAAAACACAGCCACTTGGTGAAATCTGGTTTCGCCCACCGATGTGCCAAAATAGCATCGGTGGGCAAGAAGAGTTTTGGAAAATAGCCCGCTGATTTTCTGCTTTCTTTCCAATGTTTGCCTAAATATGTTCCAGTTGTAAAGAGGTTTAATGGGCAAATGCGACGAGCAGGTGGAAGATACAAGATAGCCACAGGACGAGGAAGATTATGGTGCTCGAGCGCCGATCTCGTGGTGCCTTTCTCTGCGATGATGCTTGTTGTTCCCCGGTGTTGGCATCATTCCTTCGTTATAACTGCCTCCGTCAAGAAACATAAAGGCATCCTGGCAATCTAAGAGGTGGGAACGAGCGTGTCGAAGTACGGCTTCAAGCGGTCCACTTGAACAATATCATGTCTACGCCGACGATGGTCACCGAGCAGCGTAAGCGGTTCAATGGCGTAATTGACGAGTGATGTGCGCTCTACCACGCGGTATGGGTCATGGTAATTTGAAAGTAGCTTGGTAGACAGACCAGGTGCACAAGGTGGTGCATACAGCCATAGAATGGTTCAAGGGGGGAACTTTTCGGCAGGAGCGTG